CCCCCCCCCCCCGAAAGCAGTTCCTTCCAAGATGCCCGGGATGGTCAGTAAAAATCCGGACCTCGAATTTGACTCTCTGCAGCCTTGTTTCTATCCGGACGAGGACGATTTTTATTTGTGCGGTCCGGACTCCACACCCCCAGGGGAGGACATCTGGAAAAAGTTTGAACTGCTCCCTACCCCGCCGCTGTCTCCCAGCCCGGCCGGTCTGCAAGAGAACCCCCCAGGAGGAGCCCCCGGGTCATGGGGAGGAGCAGCATCAGCGGCGCTCAGGGGCTTCCGAACCGGCGACCCCCTGGACTGGGCTTCGGAGCTGTTGCTGCTGCCCCCAGAGGCCGACCTGTGGGGCGGCGGGGACGGCAGGGATGCTTTCGAGATGGGCTTGGGGGAGAGCAGCAACCTCAACGCCATCATCATCCAGGACTGTATGTGGAGCGGCATCTCAGCCACGGAGAAGCTCGAGAGGGCCGTGCACGAGAAGCTGCAGAGGAAAGGAGGAACAGCTGCCGCGCCTGCCACAGCTGGCTCGGCTGCCACCCTGCCTCCCGCTGCCGCCGCCACCTTGGCTGCCGCCAGCGCCGCCACGGCCCCCGCCCCCAACGCCAGCTCTGGGAACAATAGTGGCAGCCAAGCCCCCTCCGAGGAGCTCAACAACTCTGTGTCCGAGTGTGTGGATCCCGCCGTGGTCTTTCCTTTCCCGATGAACAAGAGAGAGCCAGTTGTCGCAGCAGCAGCAGCGCCAGCCTCAGCTGCTGGGGGAGTGGCTGGCCTCCGGGTGAACACTGGCGGCGGTGGCAGTGCCATTATTAACCACGGAGGAGGAGGAGGAGGGGGTGGTGCTGGTGGTGGGATCGCGCAAGGGCTGGCAGGTCCCGCTCAGCGACATGGGAGCAGTAATAGCGGCCGCCACCTGGGCACGGCTAGCGACAGCAGGACCAACAACAGTTCAGGGGATGATACGCTCAGTGATTCTGGTAAATATCCTTGCTGCCCTTGGTCGTGTGTGCACATCCCTCCTTTCTTAGGGGAAGGTTTCCCTTCCTTTCCGCATCTCAGAACTCCCCACAATGGTAGAAGTACAATCCCCTGTTATCTTCTGTGAATGTCTTTTGACCTGAACCCAACGATCAGTCCCCCCCAGTTAAAGCATCTGGATGAATGGAACTTGCACAAGGGGTGACTTGTGTCAGTTGGGGCCAAGAGATGGTTTTAGATCCAAGTATGCTACCTTGTTGTGAACGAGGCTGGCCTAGCTCTGTGGTTTAGGTATCTGGTTGCGGAGCTAGAGGTTGGGAGTTCAATTCCCCTCAGGGCTTTCTTGACACAAGGGGCTGGACCCAGTGATCCATAGGGTCCCTTCCAGCTCTACAATTCTAGGATTATCGTTTGGGCCAGAGCATCACAAAGTTACCTTTTTTTAAAACCACAGTTCCCAGAGTCCCTCTTGGTAGTACCTTTGCCAGCTGCAGGGATGCTGGGGGTTGTAGTCTAAAACAAGTTGCTTTTCCAAGACCTGATTTAGGCACAGAATTTTTTTAAGTCTAAGGGTCCTTGAGAGAAAACGAGGAGCCAATGCTTCTTTCTATTTCTCTTTCATACCCTCAAATTAAACCAGCCTTTCCCCAGTTGTTACAGCAGCCTCATTGAATCCATGGCAAGTCTGCACTTACATAAGCCCCACTGATTCAGTGGGTCCCTCCAGTCAGAACGAGCCCTGTAAAGCCATATTCGCAGCATGTCCTTTTATATCTGGCAGGGCACTTAAAAGGGAGCTCAGGGAAAGGTGGTGGCTATCACCTTTAGAGGAAGCATTTCAGAAAAGGGAAACAAAAAGAAAGACAAAAAAAGGGAGGAGAGAACAGAAAAAGAAAAGAATAAAAATCCTTTTCCGGGGCCTACAATTGAATCTCCAAAGCTGTGGTGGTCTGAAACTGACCTAGGACTGTTCATGTGGATATTTCTATTGGGAGCTATGTACCGACACAGGTACACTTGCACCACAAATGCTTGCTGGTCCTAATATGGTTGAAAAAAAGGAGTGATGATACCAATCTTCCCAAAGAAACTAGGTGTGTCCTATTGCTTCCCTCTTAGAAATCTTACAGGACTTGACCGGTAGATGGCAGTATATTTGCCTCTGTTAAGTCAGGACCCTCTCTTAAAAAGTGGTCACCTCCACCCTCAGACCGTTGTATGGATTTTCTTCACTTACAAAATATTTCAATGCTGTTGATGGATAGTGGAAAAGCATTTCTTAAGAAAACCCTACTAACCAAACTACAGCACCGCACCGTTAGGCTAAATGCAGCACTGTTCCATTTCTTGCTTTATTTCTGCTGTCGTAAAATGTGGGTTTAAAAAAGAGAGAGGCCTAACTACATTATGTGAACAGACAAGAACAGTTTGGGTGTGGCAGGTTGATTTTATACATTTTGCGCAAGGCATCAACATTAAGCTTTTTTAGCTGTGCAGTCTTGGAAGCAGCATTCATTTTTGGCTTCAGTACAGCAAACATGCAAAAGACCAGCTTTACATTTAGTGAAACATCTACATTCGGATGAAGGGGAAGGGAATCCACTGCAATTATATACACAGTTTATTGTATGTAAATGAGAAAATCCATATGACCATAATCATAAACTTGACAATTCAGCCTTCCTGTTTAAAAGATTCACTGCTCCCTTCATGTCTGTGTCTTGACAGCTTTGACTGAGGGAGCACTTCCTCTGAACAGCTGTCTTCTTGGCAAGGACCCAAAAACTTTGGCTTAAAGGAACCTACCAACTGGAACAGCTTTGCATTTTCTGTGTTAGCAAATCCAGCAATTGTTTGGCTTTCCAGCCCTCTTTCAGTCAAGCAAGGGCTATGTGTGAGAGAGAAGACACAAACACACACACACACACACACGTTATATATATGTGCATCATTGTGCCTGTTGTTTTGTCCATGTAATTTAGAGCATAGAACAGGGACTTCAAATGCAAATTATTTTTCTTTTTAATATTCTTTTCATCTTCCTCTGATTATATTGGGCTGCCATTTTATTTGTTTATTTCATTGCTTAGCTTGCGGTCTCATCGTTAGCGCTCTTTCATGTAGTTCTATAACCACATTTTATTCGTTGAAGGCCTGATGGAGCGTAGGGAGGCCTTAAGACCTGAGCATACAAACATATATTTTTTAACGGTTAAATGATGTTTTCCTGACTGTGCTGCATATTTTAAGTGTTTAAATATTTATACATTGGCATTTGCCCTGGGAATTGCTTGTATTTAGAACACATATATGCTAATTAATGCTAAATGCTTGGGAGCCTTCTGGTACATTTCCCTGAGAGTGTTAACATCTCCGCTTTCTCTTTCTCTGTGTTAAAAAGATGAAGAGGATGAAGAAGATGACGAAGAAGAAATTGATGTGGTCACTGTGGAAAAAAGGCGCTCTTCCTCTTACAAGTCTGTTACCACCCTAACTATTGCGGTGCGCCCTAAAAATGCCACCACCTTTGCCTCTGTGAGAACTCAACCACACGAAGTCCTCCTAAAGCGCTGTGCCCCAATTCATCAGCAGCATAACTATGCCGCGCCTTCGCCCTATATCGAAAGTGAAGAGGTGCCCCCCCAGAAAAAGCTAAAAAACGAAGCCCCTCGTCTGGTGAAAACTGCGGCCCCGCCAAAGCCGAAGAGCTGTAGCCCACGAAACTCCGATTCAGAAGACAGTGAGCGCCGACGTAACCACAACATCCTGGAGCGTCAAAGGCGTAATGATTTGAGGTCGAGTTTCCTTACGTTAAGGGACCATGTGCCAGAACTGGTTAAAAACGAGAAAGCCGCCAAAGTGGTCATCTTGAAAAAAGCCACTGAGTATGTCCACTCCCTCCAGGCTGAGGAGCACAAGTTGTTGCTAGAAAAGGAAAAATTGCAAGTCCGACAGCAGCAGTTGATAAAAAAATTAGAACACATGCAGACTTGTTAACTTTCTGGAAAGCAAGCAAACAAATAAAAACTTTATTTTTTTTGTCATTGTCTGATCTGGACAGCCACTGCCACTTTGCACATTTTTGATTCCTTAAAAGAGAGTTATGTTTTTTGACGTTAAGAATGTTGGTTTTCCTTTCAATCCAGTCTCTGAAGCAGATGACGAAAGAAGAGAGTAGATGGGCTGTTCTGATGTAGGACTGAAGAGGCTGCCAAACTGTAATGCAATGCCTTTTGTATTTCCTCTTAGAACTGTTATCTGTTCTTGAAATGTCGTGAGCGTTTGGATCTGCTTATGACATCCAGTTGAGTTTGGAAATGGTCATTCCTTCTTAAATGGTGCTTATGTTCTACCAGGTGTTATGGGGCAAAACCATTTTGTACTTTTGTGGTAATGGTGGGAAAACACCTCTGTAAATACCATATACACTTGCCTTTTGTACATGTCTTGGGTCATGAGAGGTGACTTTTGCTACCAATATTAGACTGGAAGTTCATACCTAAGTACTGTAATACCTCAATGTTTGAGGAGCATGTTTTTGTATACAAATATATTGTTAATCTCTGTTATGTACTGTACTAATTCTTACACTGCCTGTATACTTTAGTATGATGCTGATACATAACTAAATTTGATACTTATATTTTCGTATGAAAATGGTTGTGGAAAGTTTTGAGTAGATATTACTTTATCACTTTTTTGAACTAAGAAAACTTTTGTAAAGAAATTTACTATATATGCCTTTTTTCCTAGCCTGTTTCTTCCAGTTAATGTATTTGTTAATGTTTGTTGCATAGAACTGGGTAATTGCAAAGTTCTGTGTTTAATTTCTTCCAACGATGTACATTTAGTGCTGCATCTTTATAGCACTTTGAAATACCTCATGTTTATGAAATAAATAGCAATTAAATGATGTGTTACTTAATTATTTTCCTATACCATTTTTGTTATTGGTAGAAAATAATACCCACAAGAGTATAAACTAGAATGAGTAATTTTGTATTGCCTTAAATGAAATTGATTGCTGCACTATGTCTCTTAATAACACCATTTAGTTTTTGAATTGATCCTCTGTCAAATTGGATCAGTCCAAGGTTCATGTAGGGATTCTTTAGCTGAGAACATGACCATCAAAAATAAATGAACTGTATTTATCACATGGATATTTTTTCTGGAGAGATTACAGGTTGGCCATGGCCATTCTTGAGTTCAGTAGCTGGAGATAACGCACCTCTGCTTCCTATATTCAAGATCAAAATACAAAATGTGGCAATCTTAACTATTCAGTGATTGTATCCTGATTTTAACCAGACTTACTGGATGTATAGCTAAATAAAACCAGTAGCCATACTCCTATTGAACTGAATGGAAATGACTCCTACATAAGCAGAGGGTTGTAACACTGGACCCTAGTATTAGGGATGTTGACCGGGAAAGATAAAGTAACTACAGTATTCAGTAGGTTGGATTTAGAGTTCTAAGTAGATTCATTGAGTAGTAAGTCTTAGACTAATGTTAGCCTAACTTAGAGTAGTGAGTTGTGATGTGGGAGGATTTCTATGGCATGCCATTTTTTTTCCTGCAACCTGTGTTTGAGGTTTTGGGTAGGTTTGAACATGTTTGTGAGCAGTCTGGTGAGAAAGGCCAGATTACTCATATACATGTCTGATCTTGCTTATGGATTCAAATGTAGGTTGCAGAGAAAATGTGAATTGTCACAGAAATCCTCCCCCTGTGACTAACTTAAATCACACTGATTTCAGTAGGTCTAGGAGACAGTGGAAGACAGGAGGGCCTGGCGTGCTCTGGTCCATGGGATCACAAAGAGTTTGACAGGACTAAACAACAAATCTTAAGGTAACAAGTCAGGATCCAGCCCAGCAGAATTGCTGCTTAGCATAGTCACACTAGAGTAGGCCCATTGAATCAGAGGTTCAGGAGTTGTTACCAAAACATGGGAACGTTTTCAAGCTGCACCATTCAAGGGAGCCCCCCCCTTAGTACATTCCATGGATTGAAATGGGCCTCTTCTAGCATGGCTCACTACATGGAGCCACAGGATTGTATCCACAGGACTGCAGCTCAAAGAATCAAGTCTGCCATTGCAGTTGATGTTATTGGAAAACAAGTCCAGATTTCCTTTGGACAGGGATTTTGCATCTCTTAATCTCCCAGAAGAAGAAGATGCAGTAGAGATAACTCGAATGATATACTATGGAAATACCTTCTTTTACCCAGGCATTGAAGACTTTCCCATGCTTGGGTGACAACCCCTGAAACTCCCACCCCCATATTGAACTGCTTACATATGCACAGATGTCCAGAAACATGGACCACTTGTTGGGTTTTCAACTGTTGTGATCCTGTAATGACCTCCCTGTGCATATCTAGCCAAAATATCTAGCCATTGTATATACTTACAATGACAATAAATTTTATTATTATTATTATTATTAAAATGATGTAGAGGAAATGTAATCCGTGGCATACTGGCTATGCACAAAGCCTCTGAGGATACTGTATTTTCTTGGTCAACCTCTGACTAGAGTCTGGAGGCGCTGTAGATTCTTAGAAGCTGAGCAACTTTGATTAGGACCAACCTGTTAGCAAAAAAAAAAAAACCACCAAAAAAACAACAACCCAGCAAATCTGAAAGTCAGTGTTAGATGCAGCCCCTTATTCAAGAAAATGAATGCAACTTCAGATGTATCCTGATCATCTGG